ATATATGGCATTCGGCTTTGTTCGGGTATTTTCCCACGTCATTGTAGTTGTTCTTTTAAAGTTGTAGCAACGTTTCAGCAACTTTAAAAGAACAACTACAATGACGTGGGAAAATACCTGAACAAAGCCGAATGCCATACATGTAAGTACCCGCGAAAACTTAAGAAAACATATATATATGTCTATTCAGTTGTAATCCCAGATCAATGTGTATAAGATTGCAGTTTCAAAATTAATCTCCTGCATCTGAAACAATGATAATGAACATTGTTAGATTTATAAAATACTCTTCTAGTCAAAGAAATCTTAACTGATTGATTTAGCCTTTTAGTTGATTGAACAAACTTGCTTCTGAATAAGCATGGCTGTGTGTAGATTGGTGTGATCTGTGAAGGAAAACCATATATTATCTACCCAAACAACAACTAAGAATAATATACAGCAGGAAGTTCCTGTCATTCTGTGCCTAACTTTTCAGTGCTGGCTGTTTTAATGTTCAATGTTCTTGGTAATATCATGGGAACACACATTCAAAGAAATGAGCTTAGTACATCAGCCTGCATATCTGCTTACCAATTTTCTTTCTCTCTTGACAGGCCTGATGGATCCCAATATGGCTATGTGGTAAGCATGTGATTTCAAATTCTTGAATTCTGAACAGGGTGAGGCCCCTGTCCCAATTTTGAGAGGTTCAAACCTCTACTCAGGCAGGATTTGTCGAACTTTTTCTGCTAACCTGTTGGAAGGGGAAAAAGAGGTGGGAGGGAAGGAAGAGGGAGTCAGAAACAAAGGAGACTGGCAGAGACTGAAGATAAAATGGTATTTTCACTTGTCAGGGAGAGTGGGAATGGCAGGTACAAGAAGAAAAAGAGACAGGTTAGATCCACACACCATACTAAAATCATGGTTGCTTAAACATGCTTTCTCAACCCAAAGTTGTGGATGGGAAACTTTCCATGGGATGAACAAGAGTGTTTATAAAGGAGAGGGTTTTTTAAAAAGCCAAAATGACAACTAATTGCCTTGCAGCTATATCTTGAATTCTCCCTCTCTCCCCACCTCTCTCCCTCTCTCCCTCTTTCTCTCCCTCCCTCTCACTCTTTCTCTCTCTCCCTCCCTCCCTCCCTCTCTCTCTTTCACACACACACACACACACACACACACACACACACACACACACACAC